CCTCAAAAAAAAAAAAAAAATATAAAAACATCCTTTTGGTTTACTTAAATGAAATGATTTAAGTTAAAAAAAATTGATGCCGGGAAACGTTTAAGAGACAAGGGAATTTTGAAGCATGGAAAAAAAACTCATTACTCTCATCCCATTCGGTTCGTGAAAATTCCATGCCTGAATTTTTTTTTATTTTTGTCCTCAAAAGTTATCATATTTAAATAACAATAATCGAAACTTTATTTAACCATTGTTGTCAAATGTAATGGATTAATAAAGTTTAGTCTTTGTAATCAGATTGATTGTAAAGCGGTTAACAAATTAAGAAATCTCTTATACAACCAATTTACTAATCTTTCTTTTTTGTTTACTCATTAGTGTTTGTTTATAAGGGTTGATTTCTAAAAATAAAATAAAAAAAAAAAACCCGGTCTAGAAATATTTTCATTCAAAAAAATTTATCAAAATATTTTGCCAATCATCAAGTCGCACCATAAAAGGAATAAAATATTAGGAAAATGGTATCGGAATAGCACGTATTACTTATCTCCGCAGCTAATTGAATGAATCGGAACTTATCGGACGATATGTTCCGGATTTTTATATAATACTAAATTATATTATGAAGATTCCTCTAAAAGCAGGAAGATCTGCACAGATGTGCTAGATGGTACAATTCTCTTTATATTTACATTTTGGTAAAATATCTTTTATACATATTTATATGTTTGGTTTTGTGTTTTTGTGTGTGGCACATATGACAAATTTCTCAAGGGGCTTTGTTTTTTTGCAAATAATAACATTGTTCCGACAACATAGCCACATAATTGTTTAGAAGTTTAATTTTTTTACCCCCCAAAAAATAATATATATTACAAATTATCGAAGAATACCGGTAAAGCTTTCTAATAAATAAATTAATTATAGATTCGTAAAGAGTATTAATGAATTTGATCATAGACAAAAGGGAATTATTTAATTAAGAAGTTCATAATATTTGTTTGCATTGTTTAGTTAAGTAAGAGTTCAACGGCAGCATCAGCTGGAACCTCATTATCAAGAATGTAGAGGTAACTTGGACCTGGAGGAAGTATGGACGAATATGGTGGCATTTCAACAGTTAATATTATTGAGGTGTCCCGTTTTTTAAGGTATTTAGCAGACATTATATTACACGAAACAAATCTTTGTGAGAAATGGTTTGAATGTGTAACAAATCCATGATGAATTACGACTGCTTTGAAATTTGGAACATCTTGCCCTGATATAACTGTAACCTCAACATTTAGTCCATATGATACTGGAATTCTTTGAGTGTTTAGTTCTGTATATTCTCCAACGCTGGTGATCTTTGGACGTACTAATCCGGTCAACAAGTATGGTGGTGAGAACATTTCAACACGATATCTGCGTAAAAGAAGAAGTAAAAGAGGGAGGGAAAATTAACAAAAATCATAACATAAATACGTGATGTAAAGGAAGAATAAAAATATCAAAAATTACTTACTCGGTGGGGAATTCAGATTCAGTATAAACATCACCCTGCGGATTGCTACCGGCTACGAAGATTCTTCCATCGGATACTAAAGTGGCAACAGAGTGATACATTCTTGGAATTGTTGATGGAGCAAATCGAGACCATTCTTTCGTTTCAGGATCATAAACTGAGGGAGCCAATACCGGTTTAATGGCAACATAAAGAGGATTAGTATTTGGACCGCGATGATATCCAGCGAAACCTGCTCCGGCTCCATTTAAATATAAGATTTTTCCAGTTGGCATAATAACAGAATCTGGCATCACACGACCAACGCCACCGAAATCGTCCATTTCCCATTGAGGATTATCTTCGGTTGGATCAATTCTACCACATGATGCTTCGGACAGTGTTTCAATTTCCATTTCAGTATTACCTCCGCAAATCATAACGATAGGTTTATAATATGGTGGGTTAAGTGGTAATAAAACCGAGTTGCCGGTTAATGGGTAAGATCTATGTCCACCTGGCATTTCCGGAAATCTTTTCAAGATGGTAGCGGTATCAAAGTCATAAAGAATGCCCTGCTTATTCACGAATACGAATGCAATTTGTTTTCCCTCATTATTTGGCATAACATGCAAAAATGCGTAAAGATTATATGGCAATGTTTCTGTTAAAAAGGGCATATCAAAAGCTTTTTCGGGCACTCCTCCTGCTGCGGGCCAAATTTCATATGTTGGGTTATTAATACCGGCATTATTTTTTCCTGTTCCCTTATATGCACCTCCAAAAACCAGCACGTCTCCACTTGGAAGAGTGGCCATGGCTGGGTACCATCTGCGTGAGGTCATTCCTCCTGGGATTTCGGACCAATCCGCACCATCACCGGGCGTGAAAAATCTTATGCTCTGATAACCTTCATTATATCCGAATTGGTTCTCGGCTCCACCCGCGTGAAGGAGCGTTCCGTTACTAAACCATGAACCCGCCGTACAAAATGTGTCTGAATCCAGGTTGAGAATTCGGTATTCATTAGTTTCAATATTATATAAAGTCGAAATCGCCGGATTACCATTTGCTTGCTTGATGGGATTCGCTTCAACTTTATCAATAATCACTATTTCATTATGGGAAACAACAGCGATGTGCATAGCTTCAACACCCGAATTTCCAACTATTTTCCATTCGCCTCCAATTTTTCCTTCAGTTACGTCCGTATCTGCTCGACCATATAATAAACCTAGAGAAACAGGAGAAGCAGAAGTGGGATGGGGCAAAGCCGTTACAAGACCAGAAGATGAAATGTCTTTGGCCAAAAGCGTGCATAAAAGCAATATAAATTTAATTACTTTCATATTTAAAAAATTAATTTATGGAAAAATGGTTTGTACGGTCTAATGATAAAATAAACAATTTTTTTTTTTGTTTTTTTTTTTTTTTTTTTTAAAAAAAAAGAGCCCTCTTTCGTTTCTATGTTCGTTTCGTAAAGGTGTGGACCCTTGAGAAGAAAGGGGGAAAAAATGAAAGTTGCCATTTATTTATACGTTATTGTTAGTGATTAATAGACTATTATGAAGTTGAAGTATATACAGATCTTGTGTATGAATATATATATTCTAAGTGGAACAAGTAAAATTAGGCTTCTTTTTTTTTTTCCAGAAATATAATTAATTAAAGTATTCAAAAATCTTTTTTTAATTTGTGCATAAATTGTTTTTAGTGCAATGGGAGAGAGAGAGAAAAAAGATGATCTCGGTATAAATATTAATATTTTTAGGTTGAAATCTACTTTTCTCCACATTGCCTTTAATCAAAATCCAAATATAGAATTCCGGAAATTAACGGACATATCAGTCGAGGTATCACTCCCGTTTTATAGTTGCAAAGAAAGATTTTATTATCTGAATGAATTTAGCGTTATCGATAAACAAAAAAAAAAAGTAAAATCAAGGGTTCAGGTACGACGATGTTATTAAATCAATATATCTAAATATTTTTTTTTTAAAAAAAAAAATTGACCCTTTGTGCAGTAATATTAATCAACATAGCACAGCATATATTGCATTAATGACAATTCAATCGGAGTTGAAAATATGATTAAAAAAAAAATATAAAAGCGGAAATGAAATTCTTATAAGAATTTTCGTCAATGATTTTTTATATTATTCTGCACGTCACACAACATTAGATGACACCAACTTTTACTAACCAAAAAGTGACACAATCTACAATGGTTGATCTAAATTTAAACAAAAAAAAATGTTGTTATAAATAATGGTTTTTTGAAGTAATGATGTCGCCTATTTAAGGGTAAAGCTTACTTTTTATGTCGCTTTGTTCGTCGTTTAAAAGCGAGTCTTTATGCTGCGCCACACGTCTAGTGCGCCTTTAGAATTCAATGATCTAAGCAATCCTATACATATTTTTTAAACAATAATGCAATGTTTTATTATTCAAGAGAAAATTAATTTTATCTCAGTCTTAATTTTCTCTCTTTATATTAAATACTTAAATAATTTAATATTCACTTATACTAAATCGACCAATATAATAAGTAAAATCGTTGATATCGTCCTTTCAAAGTGGCTAATAAAAATTCTTAAGCTTAACGTAATTATCCATAAAAAAAAATTTCTATTCGACAAACATAATCCTAATGAAGGTCATTACATGCTTCAGTGCATCAGATGGGGCTATATTCAGCAAAATTCCTACTTGTGAAATATGTAGATAAGAGAACTACAGACAGATGTTTAAGTGATCTGTAAATCATTGACATATGCTTGCATTTTTTGGTTAGTTTGGTTGCTAAATAAGGTTTAAACTTTTTTGATCATAATGCATTGCATATGCTTTATGCTTAATGCTTTTTGCTTAATATCCGTGTTGGTTTTTTTTGCTTTCATAATATAAATGTTTCAAATTATACTCTAAATCCCAATCAGAAGGGTTATACCTTACGGAGTACAGTCCGACGATCTTTTGAGTGCAGTCATGCGAATTTTTGATGCAGACTGAGATAACCATGCTGAGTCTTGTAATGTTGATTAATCGGACTGTTAGAATTTATATGACCTATATAATGTGTACCCAATAAATCTCCGCAAAAGCTCTATCTTTTTAAACAAATGGGCGTCACATGATCGTAATAAAATTATTTTAGAGATGGGTAAACCTTTATATTGAAATAATTTTTTTTTATAAAACCGTGATTGGATGGTAAAAGTTCTTCGCTTCTATTCATGCATTTTTATAAAATATTCTGATTTCTGACCATTTCATTACGTCATACAGCCATATGTATCAATATTTTTATTAACAAAAAACCATCTAATATTTAATAATTTGCTGCAAGAAATCTTTATTTTTTAATTATAATGATATATACATTTTAGAATAAAATCATGCTTTAATTTTTGTAATTCTAATTTTTCGCGTTCAAGTTTCAATTCGCGTTCTTCAATTTCTAATTGCCATTCTCTTAATAATAATCGACGTTTTTCCATTTCAAAATCAATATTATCTTCTGTCAAATCAATATTTTTGTTTTTTTAGCTTCAGGTTGTAATACTTTTATTGGAGCCTTGGTTTTTGTTTTTTTGATTGGTTTCTTAGTAACTTTAGTAACTAAAAAATAAATTTATTATATTAATTAAGCAAAATAAAATATACTGTAAGAAATATAATTTCACATTATGCATACCATTTCGTTTAGAAGATTGTTTTTCTCGTGCTACAACCAACACATTGGTCCTTTCCAGATTTTGAAATTCCATAATTGTCTTGAATTTCACAGGAAACAAAATGTCTTTCATCATAATTTTTAGCTCTAATAAAAAAAGAAGAATTATTAATTTGTACATTGCTATTACACTTTATAATTTTATTATTAACTTATTTTAAAATAGCTGATTGCAAGAATAATGATTTTCCATCACGGTTTGAATTTGCATGACATGATTCTGCTACATTAGTGTTATCAGGAGCTTTATTCCAAATATCTGGATTCATAAATGAATACATTTTGTTTAGAGAAGCACACACCCAGGATTTTGAATAGAATATGATCCAATCTGAATTTTATAAATGAAGATATATATACAGTAATTAATTAAATAATTGCTTAATTAACATATCAAAATATATAAGTATACCTTTAATATTTGGCTCATCAAATACTTTCAAATCTTCAAAAATTTGGTCAACTCTTTCAGTATTATACGCATTAGGAAATTCATACATTAATGCTTTAATATCATATGGATATTTATTATTTTTAACATTTCTATAATAAAATAAAGTTTTTAAGTAATAAATATAAAATAAATATATATCAAATATATAATAAATAAAATAAATAGTACTTTTACCTATTATAATGAATTCGATAACTTTTGAAAATATACAATAAATGCTTTTTTCAAGTAAGAGTATTATGAATTTTATGCAAAGCTATTCCTAATCCTTTTGCTTGTGCTAAATCTAAATCACCTAAAATACATTTTCAACCTTCTTTATGAATATGAAAAATTTGTGGATTACTTCTGGTTAACTGATATATCCAATCAAAAAATGCATTAAACATTCTTTCATAAGAAATTGCATCAGCAATATTTGTAAAAACTTAAGTATAAGTTAAACCTTTAAAAAAATAAATTAATATTTGAAAATTTTAAAATAAATATAATTATTACTTACTCATATTATGTTATAAATCATAGCTATTAATTTCAAACTCATTAATATCATCTTGAACTCTTTTAAATGAAAGATCAATTTCAAAATATTCTAATTTAATCTAAGTACAAGCCATAATTTCAGAAATACAAATAATCATTATTTGATCATTTGAAAAAGTGAATAAATATAAATTGATAATTAAAAATTAAATAAACAAATAACAATTTTTTTTTAAATATAAAATAATGTAAACCTGATTGCTGAACATATCCAAGATATTCTTCATTACATTTCCATATATTATATGTAAGGTCAAGAATACTCTGACTAAAAGGATGATGAGCTTTTTGAACTTTTGCCACAAGTTTACATAACTTATTCATATTATTTAATGAGGCATAAATTTGTAACAAAAATTCTTTACCAAATATAGCTTTAATAAGGTTACCTTTAATAAATTAATTTATAATTTATTAATATTTATTACTAACTAGAATTAAATAACTAAAATTAATTTATATATGTGATATAAGTTTTCAAGCTGTAATATCTACAAGTTCTTTACTTTGCATTTCAAACATTTTCTTTAATTTTTCCATAATATTTAAAGGTACATTACTTGGTAAAGATGAATAATGTATATGAAGATCTTTTGATATAAGAATTACAAATGGTATTTTTTCCAAATCTAATAGTATAATTTTGTAAAATTTGACTTGATAATTTTGTTCAACTATTTTTTCTTGATCAATTATACCATTAAAATGTCAATGTAAAAATCCTTAAATTAATATAAATATAAATAAAATAATATGAATATTATAATATATACACTAGTTGAAATAGTCCAAATCAACTAAAAATCAGATAGCCAATTTTAGGCTGATTTTGATAATATTTATGGTCAATTTTCCATATTTTCTGATTAGTACAAACAGGTACCGATTGACGCTGATCGATTCCAATCAGATATAGCAATTTAGAACTTAAATTCAACCATAAATCAGCTTAAAATTAGCTTTAATTCAGTATTAATTTGATAACAATTCAAAAGCTAATTGATGCTGATCGGCTCCTATCAGACAAGCAATTCAACCATAAATCAGCCTAAAATTAACCTAAAATTAGCCTCAATTTAGTAACAATTCAGATGTCGATCAATGCCAATTAACTTCAATTGGATAAGCAATTCAGCATCAATAATCAATACATTTTATTTATTAAATTTATTAAATATTAAAATTTTATTAATAATAAAAGCCTAATATAAATTTGCAAAAATATAAAAATATAACAAAAAAAATATCACTAAAACCTACTGATTAATTTCCTATTAAAAATAGAATAATAA